CTGAAACAATATGTAGGCATCTGACTAACATCTCCAATTGTTTTTCTCTCATTTGGCTTGTAACATCTTGTCTGATGAAGAAGCCCATGGAGCTTCGAAAGCTTGCAACAGGTATACTGTGCATTTTGGTTGGCCAATAAAAGTATCACTGTTTGGTGGATTTTTGTTTGAATAGAATTACAGTGTCATTCTCTATGGGAAACCGAAGGCTACAAGGAAACAGACAGAGATTTCTCCAGAGCCTGAATGGCTGTTGGGGAGGTGCAGGGAGAAGGAGAACCTTAGGGTGTGTATATATGGGAAGGTCATTGTGTGAGATGGAGGTAGTGGATCCCTCTGTGCACAGTGACAAAAAGAGAGATAGAGGCATATGGTGGGGTTGTTGTTTTTATGTGCCTTCAAGTTGACCCTGACTCATGTTTTTTGACGCAACAAGATTTATTCAGAAAGGAGCTACTATTGCTTTCCTCTAAAGCTGCATCTGCACTGCAAAATTAATGCAATCTGGCACAGCTTTAACCACCATGGTGCAATACTATGGAATTTGGGGATTTGTAGTTTTGTGAGATATTTAGCCTTCTCTGTCAGAGAGCTCCCATGCCACAACAAACTACAAATCCCAGCATTCCGTAGCATGGACCTATGTGTCAAACTGCATTAATTTTCCAGCGTGGTACCAGCTGGCTGAGAGAGTGTGACTGGTCACCCAGTATGTTAACTGGCAATTTCAAACCCTAGTCTCCAGAGCCCCAGTCCAACACTCAGACCACTATACCACACTGGCCAAAGTTGGACTTATGCTTGTGTATATCACTAGCAGGATGTTAGCCATGGCATGTTTGTGCAATACAGTTTTCTAAGTACCAAATCAAATTAATCAGGACAAAGCAAGTGGAGCAGTAATTTCCAATTTATTATTTACAATCTTGCAAGAAGGGGTGTCCTATGCGAGTAGGCACACCCCACACTTGACACAGCATGGTTTTATTCTATTTCTCTGGCAGTATTTTTCCACCCCATAACATTATTGGCTAGTTAAGGCATATGATCAATTTTAAGACCACCTTTTTCATGTATGTAAAAGCCCAACCCACAACATATCTGTTCATACATCTCATGGACATTTAAAATAGGGATAATTTATGCATGGGAGGGCCAGAATAATGTATGAGTCAATTGCGCAGGATCAGTTTGTGTCCATTTGGTGACCTCTCAATTACCTTTAGAAAGAAATGCTGTCCTTGCAATTAATGAGGATGAAACTATAAATCCATCCACTCTTGTTTATGTTTCAGACTCAGCTTACCTCCCTTTTTCAAACTGGGCATTTCTTATTATAAACCAGCCCAATTATTCTTGACACATTTGGCCAATCTCAAAGCAATGTGTTTATAAATGACAGTATTCAAGTGTTTTTACATAATTAGAAACCTAAAGCCCCAAACGCTTTTTGTAAAGTGTGCATGAGATATAAAAAAACTGAAAACTATATTAGATATATTGAATATATAGTATATAAGTAATATGTGAGTGTATAGGTTTACATGTTTTTCAACCCTACCTATGGGTTCTTAACTCTTTTTAACTCTTTTTATGCACCTTTTGATTATCCTTTTTTATGTTTAATTCAAATTTGAATTTATTCCTCTCAATATTCAAGCATGTTGCACAAACACACCTCTTTGGAGCACTGTCAATGTTGTAGATTCCTGCGCTGGGGTCCTGCACAATGTTGTAGATTCCTGCACTAGTTCAAAGACCATCTTTGGGGATGTTTTCTAACTATGACTGTTGGGGGATCCTTGGAAATGGTTCCAAAATCCTGTATAATTTGGAAGGGTCGTTAAGTTACTTTCAGTTGCACAACTGAATTGCACAACACTTCCATATTTTCAATAAGTTTGTGAAAGCTAGGGATTAACCTCAGATTCATTGAGAACTACCCTTTTGTAGAACATGGGTAGGACCAAGGGCAGCATGTGGCAATGGGTTGTTTGTCAGAGACCACACCTGCACATACCTACACAAACACATGCGCATACAGCCTGCTGAGCAATTGTTTGGTGAGTTGCTGGGAGCCTGATTGTGTTGAGGATTAAGTTGGGTGGGGATGATCTCTTCCTTGCACTATTGTGCTCCTATCAGTCCATCAAATTGTTGTCTGGTATGTGGCCATAATCCTGTTTATGAAGAGAAGTGGGCTCTTCCTCAGATTAAAGTTTAAAACAGAACCTCACAGCCTTATAAATTATGTGTGAAATCTACAGAAGGGTCTGGGCCCCTCTTTTGCCCCCATCTTGATAGTTTCAATAGATTCTTTACATTGAGAGTCCTTGTTGTCCTCTGGGTTTTGGTTCCAAGATCCCCCCCCCATGGATAAAAAAATCCGTGGATGCTCATGTCCCATTAAATATAATGGGAGAGCAAAATGCTGTCCCTTATATAAAATGGAAAATCAAAATTTGCTACTTGGAATTTATACTTTTTTCTGAATATTTGCAAGCGTGGATGCTTGAATCCATGGATAAAATATCTGTGGATAAGGAGGGCCAACTGTACAAGCAGTTAACCAGGATGTTCTGTTACCAAATTACTTTTTACTAACATTGGCCCAAAACACACTGCAGAAATAATCCAGTTTGAGACGGCTTTAACTGTGCCCTGGCTCAGTGCTAGGGAATTCTGGGAATTGTAGTTGATTGTGGCACCAGAGCTCTGACAGAGAAGCCTAAATATCTTACAAAATGACAGTTCCTAGAATTGCCCAGTATTGAGCCAGGGCAGTTAAAGCGGTCTCAAACTGGATTATTTCTGCAGTATGTTTTGGATCACTGTCTTTTATTTTCACTTCACATAAAGGAACATGACTAATATCTCTTTCAATACCTTCTGGATTCCTCTAATTTATATAAGCTTCCTACATCAGGGGTAGGCAATCTTTCCCCTTTAAGGGCCGAGGGACTTCATCTCCCAGAATCCCAGTAGCTATTGGCCAACATGGGACTATTGGCCAACATGGCTGAGGCTTCTGGGAGCTGAAGTCCCTTGGCCCTTAAAGGGGAAAGGTTGCCTACTCCTGTCCTACATCCTTCCATTTGCTTCGAGAAGGATTTTAGCAAGATTCTTGGACATGTCTACATTGAAGTAATTCCTACTGATATATTCTTATTAGTCCTGTTGACTGATTGCAAAGTTACTACAGCAAGGGTGAGAATCACGTGCCCCTCTAGACATTGGATTGCAACTCCCAGCATTCACCCTCAGCTACCAGGTTGGACTACCAAGAGTTGTACTTCAACAACACTGCTACACCCATTATATGATTCCCATTATATCTGGACAAAATGCTTGCCTTCATTTCCTCTCTACTCTCCTTCCACTTATCTTCCTTTTTCATCGTCCTTCCTTCACAAACTTTAATTATTTTATTTATTTACTACATATATATTCCACCTTCTCCCCAGTGTGGGACCCAAGATGCCTCACATGTTTAAAAACAAAAAGAGCTAAGAATAATAGAATCATAGAATTGAAAGGGACCCCAAGGGCCATCCAGTCCAACCCTCTGACATGCAGGAACTTTCAATCAAAGCATCCCTGGCACATGGCCATCCAGCCTCTGTTTAAAAACTTCCAAAGAAGGAGACTCCAACACTCTCCAAGGGAACATCTTCCACTATAAAACAGCTCTCACTGTCAGGAAGTTCCTCCTAATATTAAGGTGGAATCTCTTTTCCGGCAGCTTGCACCCATTGTTCCAGATCCTATTCTCTGGAGCAGCAGAAAACAAGCTTGCTCCATCCTCAATATGACATCAAATATTTCAACAAGGCTATCATGACACCCCTGATATATTAATTGTGCTTGTTTGAACAACTTGCCCATTAACATTAAAACTCTTAAAAAAAAAAAAAGCACCACATTAGAGCTCCCCACTTAGCCTGCATCTGCACTGTAGAAATAATGCAGTTTGGCACTGCTCGGACTGCCATGGCTCCATCCAACAGAATTCTGAGATTTGTAGTTTGGTGATGGGCCGCCAGTGTGGCATAGTTGGTTTGAGTGCTGGACTATGACTCTGGAGAGGAGGGTTCGATTCCCAGCTCGGCCATGAAACTGACTGGGTGACCTTGGGTAAGTCACACTCTCTCAGCCTCCTCAGGGGAAGGCCATGGCAAACCTCCTCTGAACAAATCTTGCCAAGAAAACCCCATTATAGGGTCCCCATTATTGTTGTTGTTGTTAACTGTCCTGGAGTCCACCCAATTCATGGTGACCCTGTGGATGAGACATCTCCAGAATTCCCTTGTCCTCCATTGCTCTGCTTAAGACAGTCTTGCAGATTTGGGCCCATGACCTCCCTAATTGAGTCCATCCATCTGGCATGTGGCCTCCCTCTCTTTCTACTGCCTTCTACCTCTCCTAGCATTATTGTCTTTTCCAGTGATTGATGCCTTCTCCTGATGTGGCCAAAGTATGACAGCCTCAATTTAATCATCTTGGCTTCCAGGGAGAGTTCAGCCTTGGTCAGTTCAAGGACCCAAATGTATGTGTTTTTGGTCTTCCATGGTATCCTCAGCACTCTCCTCCAGCATCATATCTCAAATGAGGCCCAAAACACACTGCCCAAATAAATCCAGTTTGAGACCGCTTTTAAATGCTCTGGCTCAGTGCTAGGGAAGCCTGGGAATTGTAGTTTGTAGTGGCATCAGAGTTCTATGAGGCTGCATCCACACTAGAGAAATAACCTGGTTTGGCACTGCTTTAACTCTACTTGGCTCAAGGCTATGGAATTCTGAGAATTGGAGTTTGTAATGCAGGGATAGGCAACCTTTCCCCTTTAAGGGCCGAGGGATTTCAGCTCCCAGAAGCCTCAGCCATGTTGGCCAATAGTCCCATGTTGGCCAATAGCTCCTGGGATTCTGGGAGCTGAAGTCCCTCGGCCCTTAAAGGGGAAGGGTTGCTTACCCCTGTTGTAATGGCACCAGAGCTCTCTAGGGCTGCATCCACATTGGAGAAATAGCTTGGTTTGGCACTGTTTTAATTGCCCTTGGCTCAGTGCTAGGGAATTCTGGGAATTGGAGTTTGTTGTGGCAACAGACCTCTCTGAGGCTGCATCCAGACTGGAGAAATAACTTGGTTTGGTACCATTTTAATTGCCCCTGGCTCAAGGCTATGGAATTCTGGGAATCGGAGTTTGTTGTGGGGCTCAGAACTCTGCTCTGAGCCCCACAACAAACTCTGATTCCCAGAATTCCATAGCCTTGAGCCAAGTACAGTTAAAGCGGTGCCAAATCAAGTTATTTCTCCAGTCTGGATACAGCCTGAAAAGAAGCTGAATGTCTCACAAAAACTACGCTTCCCAGGATTCCCTAGCACTGAGCCAGGGCAGTTAAAGCGGTCTCAAACTGGATTATTTCTGCAGTGTGGGTTGGGACCTATCAGAGTGACCAGAGGTCCTAATTGCAAAGGAGGACAACAAGGCACCATGAAATGTAGGACATCCCAGGGGGGAAAAATGGAAAGAATTCCCAAATAAATAAATGTTGGGAGGGGGAGTAGAAAAAAACACTCCCAGAAATGCAAATTCATGCTCAAAACGGAGGATAGTTTTGGAATTCCTCATGAAGAGAAAGAGGAGGAGAAGAAGGCTGAAATGTCCTGGAAAAGGTGGCCAAAGCTGGACTTGGACTTCAAAGTTGCCCAGTGCGGCTGCGCGCAGTCATTTAAATATCCCGCCTGAGAGGGAGGGGCGGAAGAGGGGCGGGGCGTTCCGTTCCGTTGCCGTGCCCGTAAGCTGATTGGACACTGCTCTGCGAGGGGGCGGAGTCTGCGGCGTGAGGGCTCGAGCCGACCCTCGGACGCCTCAGACGCCATCGACGCCGCCTAGAGGGAGGGACTGAGTGAGGGCTCAGCCATGGGAAGGGAAGCGGGGCTGAGGGCCGGCTGAGGGCGCCGGGGCTGTCTGGCTCTGACGAGGAGGGAGCCCCGGAGGCGCCGGAGAAAGGCTTCCTTCGGCGGAGGGATGAGCAGCCCCGTGTCGGCCCCGGGCCCCGGCGGCTCTGGCCCCGGCTCTGGCTCTGCCCCCTGCCGCTTCGCCCACTACTTCGTCCTCTGCGGGATCGACGCCGACAGCGGACTGGAGCCCGACGAACTGGCCGGTAAAGGCGGAGGGAGGGAGG